GAAAGACCTGCAGCAGGACCAGGAGGCAGCAGGACCTGGAGGCAGCAGGACCAGGACCAGGAGGCAGCAGGACCTGGACCTGGAGGCAGCAGGACCAGGACCTGGAGGCAGCAGGACCTGAGGTTTCAGTTTCCACAGTAAAGTGCAAACTAAAAGCTGAAGGGTTCAATGCCCAAACTCCAAGGTGAACACAGACTACTGACCCAAAGGCACAAGAAAAGTTGGCTCCAATTTGATCAAAACTATAAATAAACCAAAGAGGTTTTAGGATTCTGTTCTGTGGAGCCATGAAACAAAACTGGATCTTTTTGGGCCTGTGGATCAGCGGTGCATCTGGAAGAACCTCCTGCCTACAGTGAAGCTCTGGAGCTGCTTCACCTCCTCTGGAAACCTGCAGCGTGTGGACGGAAAGACGGATCCAGTCAAGTGTCAGGAAAACCTGGGAGAAAATGTCCAGATGTCTGAGAAGAAACTGAAGTTTGGTGTCACTGGACGTTCCAACAGGACAAAGATCCCAAACACACCTCAGAGTCCAGTAAGGTGCAGGTTCAGGTGGGCAGTCGACTCAACCTCAACCAACAGTTTTTATTGTTTCTCAGAAAATAACTCGACTGGATTCAAGTGTTTTTGGGACATTTTGGGTTCAAGTGTTTTTGGGACATTTTGGGTTCAAGTGTTTTTGGGACATTTTGAGTTTAGGCTCTGGGGATTCGGGACAAACAGCTCAGATTTCAGGACTGTTCTGAATTTTTTGGGACATTTGAAAGAAGAATGAGCAGAAGAACCTGACTGGACTGAACCTGATTGTGATTTCAAAGAATCTGTGGTGTTTTAGAACCGGAACAGAAGTGACGGAGATGAAACTTTATTTGTGAGAAGTTTCATCATGAAAAGACCAAAAGACGAGTCAGAGTCCGAGTCTGAGGTTTAGTGTCTGTGCAGTTTATTTGGAAAAATAAAATGACATTAAAACCCACAGAACAGTTGAATGTGTTTATGAGCGCCGTGGCCCCGCCCCCCGGAGCCCCGCCCTCTCAGGCCCCGCCCCCCGGAGCCCCGCCCCCAGCAGCCGTCTGCAGGCCTGGCGGATCTTGGTGAGGTTGAGTCCGAAGAGCAGCGGGTTGAAGAGCGGCTGGAAGGTGATGAAGTACATGGAGAGCGTGACGCGCAGCCACAGCGGCGCCGCCGTCATGTCCAGGCGGCTCTGGATGATCTCCAGGAAACAGCCCAGGGAGAAGTTGAGGAGCGAGGCCAGGTGCGGCGTGCAGGTGCTCAGGGCCTTGTGCCGCCGCTTGGTGCTGGTGAAACAGACGCGCAGGATCCGAGCGTAACACGTGAGGATGACGAGCGTGAGGCCGAACAGCACGATGAAGGTGTACAGGAGCCCGTACACGTTGTTGACCACGGTGTTGTCGCACGACAGTTTGACCACGGAGTAGTTATCGCAGTAGAGACGCTCCACCGCGCGGCGGCAGTACGTGAGCGTGGCCGACAGCGTCGTCATGGTGACGATGGCCGCGACGGGCAGACACCAGGAGAGGACGACGAGCAGCGCCACGACGCGCGGCCTCATGACGGCGCCGTAGTGCAGCGGCCAGCAGATGGCGAGGTAACGGTCGTACGACATGACGGCGAAGCTGTAGAACTGCACGTTGACGTACAGGTAGAGACAGAAGATCTGCAGCGAGCAGAGCGTCGCGTTCACCGTGTGAACGTCCCGCAGAAGCTGCACCAGGAAGAACGGGAAGAGGCCGGCGCTTCCGTTCAGCTCGTTCAGCAGCAGCGAGGACAGAAACACGTACATGGGCTCGTGAAGAGAACGCTGCGAGAAGATCACCACCAGCACCAGCACGTTGGCTCCGATGATCAGCAGGTAACTCAGCAGCACCACGGAGAAAACCACCAACCTCCACACGCCCAAGTCCACGTACCAGAGCAGAGAGAAGACGGACACGTGCGACGAGTTACCCGCAGGGGGCGCCATGGACACACGGAGCTTCACAACAAAGCAGACATTTCAAGAACCACGAAGAAGAAGAAAAACAACAGTGACACAGTTTAGTCCGTCTCCTGATCTTTCATCTGTCTGCACAAATTTAAGTCACAAAGTTTAAATAAAAAACAGAAAAACACCGATGTCCAAAAAAAATCACAAAGTCACAAAATAAAAATAAAAAAAAGATTGGTTTGATTTGATGATTTATCAATGATTTAAAACAAATTCAGTGGGACAAAACTGAAACAAAACTCACCAAAAACCCTGAACCAGACCAGAACTAAACCAGGACTGAACCAGGACTGAACCAGAACTGAACAAGGACTGAACCAGGACTAAACCAGGACCAGAGGGACCTGACTGAGATGGCAGGACTAGAGCAGATCTAAACCAGGAATCAGAACAGATCAGGACAGAGGGACGCGGGACACAGTTTGAGAATCTTGGAGAAAACCTCTAAAGGTTAAAAGGTCCAAAGGTCAAAGGTCAAAGGTGCTGCAGACACAAACACTGCACAGACAATTAAAGATTATTAAAGACGATTAAAGACGATCAGAAATTATTAAAGACGATTAAAGACGATCAGAAACGATTAAAGACGATTAAAGACGATCAGAAACGATTAAAGACGATCAGAAACGATTAAAGACGATTCAGAAACGATTAAAGACGATAACGATTAAGACGATTAAAGACGATCAGAGATTTGTAAAGAGCTGAAGTTCACAGATTTACAGAGAAAAAGACGAGTTTGAAACAGAAGCAGCAGAAGTTTGGGTCTGAGTCTCCAAACGTCTCAGATCTTCACAAACTGAACTCGTCTCAAACACCAGACGCACGACTCAGGACTTTTCTACAAGACCTGAGGCTTTAAGATCTGTTCATGTCAAAGAGACGTTCAGAGCAAACTCAGGTCACACTCAGACTCAGGTCACACTCAGACTCTGTGTGGAGAAAAACTGAACATTTGAAAGAAAAAGATTCTCATCAAAAATTGACTCTGGTACCGAATGTTCAGGAGCCGTTTAAAAGATCTGACTCCACATCCCTGTAGCACACACACAACAAAGACACACAACAAAGACACACAACAAAGACACACAACAAAGACACACAACAAAGACACACACAGAGACACACACAGGACCAGAGACCAGACCTGGTCTCACTTGGACCTGGTCTAGTCCAGGTTTTAAAGAGGATTTCGGCCAAATGTCGTCATTGTTTGTCTCTGAAGGTCTGAGCTGTGAGTGGACCCTGGAGAACACCTCGTGGAGAACACCTGCTGGAGAGCGCCCCCTGGAGAGCGCCCCCTGGAGAGCGCCCCCTGGGGGAGCACTGGACCCCACCACAACACTGGTTCCTGTGACATAAAGTCCAAAGAAACAGGAAGAGTCTTTACTTGTTTTCCTCCGGCGAGTTCTTTTACCAGATGAAAATACTGAAGAGGTCCTGATGTTTGTCGTCACAAAAAACTGAGTGGAAATAAGAAAGACGTCGTACAGATAAATGCCAATAAAACATAAAATATAAACTGTTTATTAGTGCACAAAGTTCCAAATCACACAGTAACAATGAAAATGAATCAAACTGGAGTCGTTCAGAACAGAACGTCTGACTTAGAAACTCCTGACGCCGACCGAGGAGCTGGAGGAAAAAACTCCTGAGCCACAAAAGGCTCCTGAGCCACAAAAGGCTCACAAAAGGAAGATTCTCCAACTTCAGTTTCCTCATGAGAGCAAAAGTGTTCTTGAGCCACACTGTCGGCTCCTTCAGCGACTCCAACCTGAACCGCCGCCCGAACCTCTGTCATCCCTCAGGAGAAGAAACACCAAAGGCAAAGTCTGAATCATCCAGTGTTCAGAACGAGAACTACAGAGAAGAAATCAAGTGTGTTCATGAAGAGCCTTTGGACGCTGCTCCCAAAACTGGACGCTGATGGACTTTTAAAGGGATAGTTTGGATTGTTTGACATAAATCTGTGTGTCGTCCCCGCGATCAGTGTCGAGCATCAACACTGACTCACCCCCGACAGCGTCCGGTGAACTGAGATACTGACCGTTTTCGGTGCTGACGAAAGTCGTCCGGCAAGTTCGTTGGGTATAATCAAGGGTTTTTCTTCTCAAAACAATCTGTGTTCAAAAGAGTGACACGTTTGCATCACAAAACCATCATCCTCAAAAACGTCAGACCTCATTATCGCTTGGCACTATTTTCTCTCCGTTCGTATCACAGATTTTGTTTTGTCGTGGCTCCACATACAAAATGTTGTCTGTAAACTCGGGATGATTTCTGAGTCAGACAAATGTTTCCTTTTTGGTTCTTCCTGTGGATCAGTCCTGCCCATCACCTTCACCTTTCACTATTTTTCAATTCTGTTGTGAAGAGAAACAGTTTGAACAGAGGTTTGAGTCACACACATCTGATTCACTTTTGTATTTATGAAGTTCACAAACACATTTCTCGAGTCGTTTTCCGCTGTTTGGATCCAACAACCACAACAATTACAATGTCCAAATCCCAAAACTAAAATATGACATCATCAGAAGCAGAAACAAAAGTGAAATGGTTCAAGACTTGAAAAGATCGACTTTGACAACAGACACGTCCCACTGGGAAAACAAACATGGAGGTTTGATCATGACTTTCTCACAGGATCCTTCTCCGTCTGAACTGAACCAGGACCAGAGTCTGAGATTCGTGATGTTTGTGTTGTAGAAGAAGAACATGAAAAAGTTGTTGTTGAGGCCTCACTTCAGCAGAACGTCGCTCTTCTGTTCTGGTGTTTATTTTTGTTTGTTTAAACATCGTGTGTAAGTACAACACGGTGAAACATGATCATAAACCTGTGATATTGTCGTTTGTGTTTCAAATGTACATGTCAAAACATTTTTAGTGCCTCATTATGTAAATTTGTCATATGCTAATTTCACGATGCTAACCGTTTACCATTTACAGTCGTACTTCCTGTCGTTGGACGTGATGATGTCGTACTTCCTGTCGTTGGACGTGATGTCGTCGTACTTCCTGTCGTTGGATGTGATGTCGTACTTCCTGTCGTTGGACGTGATGATGTCATACTTCCTGTCGTTGGATGTGATGTCGTACTTCCTGTTAAATCTGATCCTTTTCATCTGAGACTCGACATTTAAATCCTGCAGTACTGAACCCAGACCAGCAGAGGGCGCCAGCACATCATCTACATCAGGACTAAACCAGGACTAAACCAGGACTAAACCAGGACTAAACCAGAACTAAAACCAGGACTAAAACCAGGACTAAAACCAGGTCTGAACCAAGACTAAACCAGGTCTGAACAAGGACTAAACCAGGATTAAACCAGGACTAAACCTGGTCCCAGAGAGAGGCGCAGTCGTGTGAGGGTTACTCTTTTATTAACATCCCAAAATAAAAATGGACAGATGAATTCAAATGTTTAACGTCCAGAAAAAGTTAAAGTCGACAAAGTGTCCAATCAGGTGCGTCCGGGGGCGGGCTCTCCAAACTGTGCCGGCCAATCACGTCGAGGGAACACTACACGCCCCGCCCAAAGCCCCAAGCTGCCCAAGAGTGTGGAAAACCAGAACTAACCCAGAACTAAACCAGGACTAACCCAGAACTAAACCAGGACTAAACCCGGGCCCATAAGACAGGAGTATAAAAGCGTCGGCGGTGGTGGTGCGTCGGGTTTGCGTTTGCGTTTACGTTGCGTTTGCTGCGGAGGCTCCACGCGTCGCTGCAATTGGTCGAACCCACGTGTCACTCACTTGGAGCCGACCAATAGGAGGAGAGGCGGGCGTGGCGCAGGCGGAGGAGGGGTGTGGGGGTGGAGGGGGGGCAGGGCACAGTTTGGAGAGTCCTCGTCTGAACCCGGTTATCAGGGTCACGTGGGGTCACAGGGGTCAAACGGGGTCACGTGGGGTCGGGTGATTTCCTAAACTAAAACTCCCATGACGGGTTTAAACGGGTCTGGAGGGTCTGGTGGTTTTTGGCGCCGTATGTTGGGGTGGGGTTTGAGTAGGATAAGGTGGTGGGGTATTTGCGGTGGGGTTGGGTCTGGAGGCGGCGGGGTGGGGTGTGGTGGTGGTGTACGATGGGGGTGGTTTATGGCGGGATATGGTGGCGCATGATAAGGTGGGGTATGGGTGGGGGCATATGGCAGGGTTGGGTACTGGTGGTGGTGGCGTACGGTGGGTGGGGTTGGGTACTGGTGGCGTACGGTGGGTGGGGTTGGGTACTGGTGGTGTACGGTGGGTGGGGTTGGGTACTGGTGGTGTACGGTGGGTGGGGTTGGGTACTGGTGGCGGCGTATGGTGGCGGTGAGCCGCTGGGGCCCGACCGGTTCGAACTCAAAGTGTAAAAGACGTCTCTGTCCGATGCACATGAAGACGTTTTGGCGAGCGCCGCTGTTGAATAAATATCGTCTTTCTGAGGAATGCCTTCTGCCCGTCGTGATCCGCCCGTCGCCCGCGTCGGCGCCGTGTTCCGATGCCCGCCTCCGGGACAGTTCTTAGGGCTTGTCTTTGGGGATGGTCTCCTCGCGGGGTTTGGCGCCGCCGAAAATGGCCGAGTTGGGGTTGGCGACCTGGTTGAGCGGCCCGGCCACGGTGCGCGGTTTGAGCTGGAGTCGAGGACGCTGCGCCCGCTCCTCTGCGACAAACACACACGTCAGACGCACACAAACAACAACACACACACGTCAGACGCACACAAACACACAAGACAATACACACACGTCAGACGCACACAAACAACACACACACGTCAGACGCACACAAACACACAAGACAATACACACACGTCAGACACACACAAACAACAACACACACACGTCAGACGCACACAAACAACAACACACACACGTCAGGCGCACACAAACACACAAGACAATACACACACGTCAGACGCACACAAACAACAACACACACACGTCAGACGCACACAAACACACAAGACAATACACACACGTCAGATGCACACAAACACACACGTCAGACGCACACAAACACACACGTCAGACGCACACAAACACACAAGACAATACACACACGCCAGACGCACACAAACACACATGTCAGACGCACACAAACACACACGTCAGACGCACACAAACACACAAGACAATACACACACGCCAGACGCACACAAACACACATGTCAGACGCACACAAACACACAAGACAATACACACACGTCAGACACACACAAACACACATGTCAGACGCACACAAACACACAAGACAATACACACACGTCAGACACACACAAACACACGTCAGACGCACACAAACACACAAGACAATACACACACGTCAGATGCACACAAACACACAAGACAATACACACGTCAGACACACACAAACACACACGTCAGACGCACACAAACACACACACGTCAGACGCACACAAACACACAAGACAATACACACACAAACACACACGTCAGACGCACACAAACACACAAGACAATACACACACAAACACACAAGTCAGACACACACAAACACACACGTCAGACGCACACAAACACACACGTCAGACGCACACAAACACACAAGACAATACACACACGCCAGACGCACACAAACACACAAGACAATACACACACGTCAGACGCACACAAACACACAAGACAATACACACACGTCAGACGCACACAAACACACAAGACAATACACACACGTCAGACGCACACAAACACACAAGACAATACACACGTCAGACACACACAAACACACACGTCAGACGCACACAAACACACACGTCAGACGCACACAAACACACAAGACAATACACACACGCCAGACGCACACAAACACACAAGACAATACACACACGCCAGACGCACACAAACACACAAGACAATACACACACGTCAGACGCACACAAACACACAAGACAATACACACACGTCAGACGCACACAAACACACAAGACAATACACACGTCAGACACACACAAACACACACGTCAGACGCACACAAACAACACCACACACACGTCAGATGCACACAAACAACAACACACACACGTCAGACGCACACAAACACACACGACAATACACAAACACACGTCAGACACACACACACGGCAACACACACGTCAGACGCACACTCCGCACACACGTCACACAGTCGTCACACACACACCACACACTCGTCACACACACACCACACACTCGTCTCACACACACACTCGTCATACACACTCGTCATACACACACACACACCACACCTCACACACTCGTCACACACACACACCACACACCTGTCACACACACCACACACCTGTCACACACACCACACACAACACACTCATCACACACACCACACACTCGTCACACACATCACACACATCACACACTCGTCACTCACACTACACTCGTCTCACACACACATCACACACATCACACACATCACACACTCGTCACACACACTCGTCACACACACTCGTCACACACACTCGTCACACACACTCGTCACACACACTCGTCACACACACTCGTCACACAAACACTCCTGGTATTTTACGTTGATAAACATGAAGTGGAGCTGAGTGACAGGCTCCGCCCCTTCGCTCACCTTCAGAGGGTTCCCTAAAGTCTGTGGGCGGGGCTCCGCGGGGGGGTCCGTCTCTGTAGCGCCCCATGCCTCCGCCCCCTCCCCTCCTGTCGCCTGGGCGACCGCCTCGACCCCGCCCGCCCATGTAGTCGTCGTCACCGCTGCGGAAACCTGCCACACAAACAACAGAACGTCAACGACACCAAGAGACGGGCATGATGGGAAATGAAGTCCTCCAGAGCAGCCGACCACAGCGAGCAACACTGGGACCGAACCGGGACGAAAGCCGGCCCCCGATTGGGCAGAGGAAGGCCTGCTGTGCTCTGATTGGTCGAGCCCTACCTCCTCCCATCGAATCGTAGCCGTCGTCTCTGAACTCGCGGCCGCCTCCTCGATCTCTGCTGCCGTAGCCCCGCCCACCACGCCCTAAAGGAAAACGGGTCAGAACCAAAAACAGATGGAAAACTTCACACGACAAACAAAAAAAACAAAAGTCAAACAAATGAAGGAAAATAAACTGAGTGTAGTTGTTGTGTTGTTGTTGTGTGTTGTTGTTGTTGTGTGTTGTTGTTGTTGTTGTTGTTGTTGTTGTGTTGTTGTTGTTGTTGTTGTGTGTTGTTGTTGTTGTGTGTTGTTGTTGTTGTGTGTTGTTGTTGTTGTGTGTTGTTGTTGTTGTGTGTTGTTTTGTGTGTGTTGTTGTTGTTGTGTTGTTGTTGTTGTGTGTGTTGTTGTTATTGTGTGTTGTGTTGTTGTGTGTTGTTGTTATTGTGTGTTGTTGTTATTGTGTGTTGTTGTTGTTGTGTGTTGTTGTGTGTTGTGTTGTTGTGTTGTGTGTGTGTGTGTTGTTGTGTTGTTGTTGTTGTGTGTTGTTGTGTGTGTGTTGTTGTGTGTTGTTGTTGTTGTTGTTGTGTGTTGTGTGTGTGTTGTTGTTGTTGTTGTGTGTTGTTGTTGTGTTGTTGTTGTTGTTGTTGTTGTTGTTGTGTGTTGTGTGTTGTGTGTTGTTGTTGTTGTGTGTTGTTGTGTGTGTTGTTGTTGTGTGTTGTTTGTGTTGTTGTTGTTGTGTGTTGTTGTGTGTTGTTGTTGTGTTGTTGTTGTTGTTGTTGTTGTGTGTTGTTGTGTGTTGTTATTGTGTGTTTTGTTGTTGTTGTTGTGTGTTGTTGTGTGTTGTGTTGTTGTTGTTATTGTTGTTGTTGTTGTGTGTTGTTGTTGTGTGTTGTGTATTGTGTGTTGTTGTTGTGTGTTGTTGTTGTGTGTGTGTTGTGTGTTGTTGTTGTGTTGTTGTTGTTGTTGTTGTGTGTGTTGTTGTGTGTTGTTGTTGTGTGTTGTTGTTGTGTTGTTGTGTGTTGTTGTTGTTGTTGTGTGTTGTGTTGTTGTTGTGTGTGTTGTTGTTGTTGTTGTGTGTTGTGTGTTGTTGTTATTGTGTGTTGTGTGTTGTTGTTGTGTGTGTTGTTGTTGTGTGTGTGTTGTTGTGTGTTGTTGTTGTTGTGTGTGTTGTTGTGTGTTGTTGTTGTTGTTGTGTTGTTGTTGTGTGTTGTTGTTGTTGTTGTTGTTGTTGTTGTGTGTGTGTGTTGTGTGTTGTTGTGTGTGTGTGTGTGTGTTGTTGTGTGTGTGTTGTGTGTTGTTATTGTGTGTGTTGTTGTTGTTGTTGTTGTTGTGTGTTGTTGTTGTGTGTTGTTTGTTGTGTGTTGTTGTTGTGTGTTGTTGTTGTTGTTGTTGTGTGTTGTTGTGTGTGTGTTATTGTGTTGTTGTTGTGTGTTGTGTGTTGTTGTTGTGTGTTGTTGTTGTGTGTTGTTGTGTTGTGTGTGTGTTGTTAAGTGTGTGTTGTTGTTGTGTGTTGTTGTTGTTGTGTTGTTGTGTTGTTGTTGTTGTGTGTTGTGTGTGTTGTTGTTGTGTGTTGTTGTGTGTTGTTGTGTGTTGTGTGTTGTTGTTGTGTGTTGTTGTTGTGTGTTTGTTGTGTTGTTTGTTGTGTGTTGTTGTGTGTTGTGTTGTGTGTTGTTGTTGTGTGTTGTTGTGTTGTTGTTGTGTGTTGTTATTGTGTGTTGTTATTGTGTGTTATTGTTGTGTTGTTGTTGTGTGTTGTTGTGTGTTGTTGTGTGTGTGTTGTTGTGTGTTGTTGTTGTGTGTTGTTGTTGTGTGTTGTTATTGTGTGTTGTTGTTGTGTGTTGTTGTTGTGTGTTGTTATTGTGTTGTTGTTGTGTGTTGTTATTGTGTGTTGTTGTTGTGTGTTGTTGTTGTTGTGTTGTTGTTGTGTGTGTTGTTGTGTGTTGTTGTTGTTGTTGTTGTGTGTTGTTATTGTGTGTTGTTGTTGTGTGTTGTTGTTGTTGTGTGTTGTTGTTGTGTGTTGTTGTTGTTGTTGTTGTGTGTTGTTGTTGTGTGTTGTTGTTGTGTGTGTTGTTGTTGTGTGTTGTTGTATGTTTTTGTTGTTGTGTTGTTGTGGTCGTTGTTGTGGTTGTTGTTGTGTGTTTTTGTTGTGTGTTTTCGTTGTTGTTGTGTTGTTATTGTTGTGTTGTTGTTGTGTGTTTTTGTTATAAACTTTAAAACAAAAAAGGTTGAAATATTAAAATGAAAAATGAGAAACACAAACAGAAAAGTCAAAGGTGAAAACAAAAAGGTGAGAAACAGGAAGCCCAACAGCCAATCAGAGAGCAGCAGGACCAATCAGACCAATCAGAGAGCAGCAGAACCAGAGCAGACCAATCAGAGAGCAGCAGGACCAGAGTGGACCAATCGGAGAGCAGCAGGACCAATCAGACCAATCAGAGAGCAGCAGGTTAGTTAGTTTGAGATGCAGATGAAAATTCTTCTGATGATTTCTCAGAGCAGATTTTAGTTTAACATCAAACCTCTGCTCTTCCTCTACAACTACACCTCCACCTCCTCTTCCTCTCTGTATTTTACCTCCTCCTCCTCGTCCGTCGCTCTTGAAGCCGAAGTTCCCACGGTCTCTGTCTCGGTCGCGTCGTCCCTCAGCGATGTCGACCCTCAGCGGCCGGTCGCCCAGTAACTGTGGGTCAGAGGTCACGTGAGTCATGTAACTGGCTTTTTTTTTTAATGGTTAAATGTCCCACATGAATCTGCTCTAATGTAGTTTACACAGAGACTCCATGTCCCATAATCCTCTGCTCTAATGTAGTTTACACAGAGACTCCATGTCCCATAATCCTCTGCTCTAATGTAGTTTATACTGAGACTCCATGGTCCCATAATCCTCTGCTCTAATGTAGTTTATACTGAGACTCCATGTCCCATAATCCTCTGCTCTAATGTAGTTTATACTGAGACTCCATGTCCCATAATCCTCTGCTCTAATGTAGTTTATACTGAGACTCCATGTCCCATAATCCTCTGCTCTCGTTTAATGTAGTTTATACTGAGACTCCATGTCCCATAATCCTCTGCTCTAATGTAGTTTATACTGAGACTCCATGTCCCATAATCCTCTGCTCTAATGTCATTTCCTGGTCTCACACAAACAGACCTGGAGTTGTTTTGTTTCATTCAAATGTTTAACACAAACTGTCACGCCGATGACGTCACGCCGATGACGTCACGCCGATGACGTCACGCCGATGACGTCACGCCGATGACGCCGATGACGTCACGCCACACTGGGAGATAATTGTGTGAAAAAGTCCAAAACCCAGTTCACACTGAATCTTTGTAACACTTTGACTCAGTTTTGACACAGTTTTGACACAGTTTTGACACATTTGAGACACATTTGAGACACATTTGAAACAGAAACAGTGAAAGTTTGAGTCGTTCTGGTCTGAATCTGAAACTTTACGAGAAATCAAAGTGAAAGTGAAACTGACCGCTCCGTCGTACATCAGCGCCTCTTTTAACGACTCCAAGTCATCAAACTCCACATAACAGAACCCTGAGGAAACAGCAGAGGGGTCTGAGTCCTGGTCTGAGTCCTGGTCTGAGTCCTGGTCTGAGTCCTGGTCCTGGTCTGAGTCCTGGTCTGAGTCCTGGTCTGAGTCCTGGTCCTGGTCTGAGTCCTGGTCCTGGTCTGAGTCCTGGTCTGAGTCCTGGTCCTGGTCTGAGTCTTGGTCCTGGTCTGAGTCTTGGTCCTGGTCTGAGTCTTGGTCCTGGTCTGAGTCTTGGTCCTGGTCCAGTACCTTTGAACTTGTCGGTCTCCTTGTCCCTCACGAGCCTGACGCTCTTGATCTGCAGCTCTTGGAAGATGTTGTCGATGTCTCCTTGGACCGTGTTGAAGGGCAGGTTTCCTACGTACGCTGTGAACGGAGCTTCTGTCGGCAGCTCCTTCTGCTTCCGAGCTCCGCCCCCTCCGCCGCCGCCGCGAGGCCTGACCGCCACAACACAACAACACACTTACACACGAGGACTTACACACGAGGACTTACACACGAGGACTTACACACAGTGTGTACATCACAGTGTGTTTGTATTGATTAAATGATTAAACAATTAAAGATTCCTCAAACATGAATCAGTCCAAATCCAACTTCAGAGGATCAGAGAGAAGAACCATCTGAGGAGAACAGTCTGGAGGAGAACAGTCTGGAGGAGAACAGTCTGGAGGAGAACAGTCTGGAGGAGAACAGTCTGGAGGAGAACAGTCTGGAGTCTGGAGGAGAACAGTCTGGAGTCTGGAGGAGAACAGTCTGGAGGAGAACAGTCTGGAGTCTGGAGGAGAAACAGTCTGGAGTCTGGAGGGAGAACAGTCTGGAGTCTGGAGGAGACAGTCTGGAGTCTGGAGGGAACAGTCTGGAGGAGAACAGTCTGGAGGAGAACAGTCTGGAGGAGAACAGTCTGGAGTCTGGAGGAGAAACAGTCTGAGAGTCTGGAGGAGAACAGTCTGGAGGAGAACAGTCTGGAGTCTGGAGGAGAACAGTCTGGAGGAGAACAGTCTGGAGGAGAACAGTCTGGAGGAGAACAGTCTGGAGTCTGGAGGAGAACAGTCTGGAGTCTGGAGGAGAACAGTCTGGAGGAGAACAGTCTGGAGGAGAACAGTCTGGAGTCTGGAGGAGAACAGTCTGGAGGAGAACAGTCTGGAGTCTGGAGGAGAACAGTCTGGAGAACAGTCTGGAGGAGAACAGTCTGGAGTCTGGAGGAGAACAGTCTGGAACAGTCTGGAGGAGAACAGTCTGGAGGAGAACAGTCTGGAGGAGAACAGTCTGGAGTCTGGAGGAGAACAGTCTGGAGTCTGGAGAACAGTCTGGAGGAGAACAGTCTGGAGGAGAACAGTCTGGAGGAGAACAGTCTGGAGGAGAACAGTCTGGAGTCTGGAGGAGAACAGTCTGGAGTCTGGAGGAGAACAGTCTGGAGGAGAACAGTCTGGAGTCTGGAGGAGAACAGTCTGGAGTCTGGAGGAGAACAGTCTGGAGTCTGGAGGAGAAACAGTCTGAGTCTGGAGGAGAACAGTCTGGAGTCTGGAGGAGAACAGTCTGGAGTCTGGAGGAGAACAGTCTGGAGGAGAACAGTCTGGAGGAGAACAGTCTGGAGGAGGAAACAGTCTGGAGGAGAACAGTCTGGAGTCTGGAGGAGAACAGTCTGGAGTCTGGAGGAGAACAGTCTGGAGTCTGGAGGAGAACAGTCTGGAGTCTGGAGGAGAACAGTCTGAGAACAGTCTGGAGGAGAACAGTCTGGAGGAGAACAGTCTGGAACAGTCTGGAGTCTGGAGAAACAGTCTGGAGTCTGGAGTCTGGAGGAGAACAGTCTGGAACAGTCTGGAGGAGAACACAGTCTGGAGGAGAACAGTCTGGAGTCTGGAGTCTGGAGGAGAACAGTCTGGAGTCTGGAGGAGAACAGTCTGGAGGAGAACAGTCTGGAGGAGAACAGTCTGGAGGAGAACAGTCTGGAGGAGAACAGTCTGGAGGAGAACAGTCTGGAGGAGAACAGTCTGGAGTCTGGAGGAGAACAGTCTGGAGTCTGGAGGAGAACAGTCTGGAGTCTGGAGGAGAACAGTCTGGAGTCTGGAGGAACACACACTCTCACACACGTTCTCCCTGTGTGACTGTGGCACAGTGGTTCTCCTTCCTCTCTCCAGGAGGTTGTGGGTTTGATTCCTGAGTCAGTGGAAACAGACTGAGAAAAACTCAACACTTCAGTAAAATGAAAATGTGCAGCTCAAGAGCACAAGGTCAGTTTAAGTTTAGGTTTGACTTCTGATAAATGACTCACGAGACACAAGGGTTTACACACATACATACACACACACACGCACACATACATACACACACGCACACATACACACACACACATACATACATACACACACGCACACATACATACACACACATACATACACACATACATACACACACGCACACATACATACACGCACACATACATACACGCACGCACACATACACACACGCACACATACATACATACACACACGCACACATACATACACGCACACATACATACACACATACATACACACACGCACATACATACACGCACACATACATACACGCACGCACACATACACACACGCACACATACATACATACACACACGCACATACATACATACATACACACACGCACATACATACACGCACACATACATACACACACGCACACACATACATACACACACGCACATACATACACATACACACACGCACATACATACACGCACACATACACGCACGCACACACACACACACACACACGCACATACATACATACACACACGCACATACATACACGCACACATACATACACGCACGCACACATACATACACGCACGCACACATACATACACGCACACATACATACACGCACGCACACATACACGCACACACACACACACGCACACACACACACACACACACACATACATACACACACACGCACACACATACATACACACACACACATACATACACACACATACAAACACATACACATACACACGCACACACATACATACACACACACACATACATACACACACATACAAACACATACACATACACACGCACACACATTTCATTCATTCTTCGGTTCATTTAAACTCTTTTCTCTCTCTGTCTCCTCCTCGTGCGCCTCACGCGCCAGGAGGTCCCTCGGCTCCAGAGGGGCTCACTCCGGCTCCCGGCTCCCGGACTCCGCGTCCAGGCTCCGGGTCCCGGGTCCGGAGCGCCTGCAGCGGGCGCTGACTGTCTGTGCAGCGGGGCCATGAGGCTCTGCCCCGTGCCTCTCTCAGAGCCGTGCCCAGCCCTCATGGAGCCTCATGGAGCCACACGGAGCCACACCGAGCCACATGGAGCCTCACAGAGCCAAACAGAGCCACATGGAGCCGTGCCCGGCCCTCATGGAGCCACACGGAGCCAAACAGAGCCACACCGAGCCACATGGAGCCTGACAAAACCAAACAGAGCCGCACGGAGCCTCAAGGAGCCACATGGAGCCTTAAGGAGCCGCACAGAGCCGCACGGAGCCGAGACTGCGGCTCCTGCGCAGCCGTAGCTTTAGCTGCGTTAGCCCCGTTAGCATCATTAGCATTATTAGCATGTTAGCTGAGCCCGCGGAGTTTCCTGGAGCCGCAGCCGCGTGCGGCGCCTCTGCTCCGGCCGCACCGGGAGCCCCGCGGCCCGGAGCTCCAGCGGCAGGGCTCTGGGCGGCCTGGGCGGGACACGCGGCCCCGGGGCCCGCGGAGCCCGCGGAGCCCTCGGAGCCCGCGGGGCGCACTCACCCTCTGCTGCCGAAGCTGCTGTAGGCCCGGTCCCGGTCGTCGTAACTGTCGTAGTCCGCCATTACTGCTGCTGTGTCCGGAGAGGAGGTCCTACACGTCAGCGGCGGCGCGAACAGGGCTGCCCGCGGCGCGCCTGAGCAAAAACACAACAACACCATCACCACAGTGTCCTCACAAAAAACACACAAAACACACTACACAAAACACACAAAAGGCAAGGCAAGTTTATTTGTATAGCACAATTTGTACACAAAGTAATTCAAAGTGCTTTACAGAATAAGAAATACATTAAAATCATAATAAAAACAAATCAAAACATAAATAATCATGAAGATTAAAATTTTAAAAAAGAGAGACATAAATTGGAGAGAAGAGTGCGGAATGAAAACCTTTCAGTTATTTGCACATCCATCCATCCATTTTCGTCCGCTTATCCGGGGCCGGGTCGCGGGGGCAGCAGCCTAAGCAGGGACTCCCAGACTTCCTTCACCCCAGACACGTCCTCCAGCTCCTCCGGGGGGACCCCGAGGCGTTCCCAGGCCAGCCGAGAGACATAGTCCCTCCAGCGTGTCCTGGGTCTTCCCCGGGGCCTCCTCCCGGCGGGACATGAACACCTCCCGAGGGAGGCGCCCAGGAGGCATCCGGAACAGATGCCCGAGCCTCAACTGGCTCCTCTCGACGTGGAGGAGCAGCGGCTCTACTCCGAGCTCCTCCCGTGTGACTGAGCTCCTCACCCTACCTCTAAGGGAGCACCCAGCCACCCTGCGGAGGAAACTCATTTCGAGCGCTTGTATCCGCGATCTCGTCCTTTCGGTCACTACCCAGAGCTCATGACCAGAGGTGAGAGTAGGAACGAAGACTGACATTATTTGCACAGTTAAACAGAAATGTTTAGAGTCTGGATTTAAACAGCGTCACAGAAGAGTCTGTCTCACATGTTCAGACTGTTCCAGGTTTTAGCTGCATGAACCTGAAACTCTGACTCCCCTTGTTTAGTCGTGACTCTGGCACCAGCAGGAGGTCGTCCCTGAGCTCCTCAGAGTGTGAGATGTTCAAATGACACTAACATGTCACAGATGGACTTTGGTGCTCGGCCATGGAGACACTTGTACAAACAGAGACGCTTTAAAGTCTCTGAGCCACAGGAGCCAGAGCAGAGACCTGAGACCAGGACTTATGTGCTCGTACTTCCTAGTCCGAGTCAGGACCCGGAGCTGAGTTCTGGATGTTCTGGATGTTGTGGATGTTGTGGATGTTCTGGATGTTCTGGATGTTGTGGATGTTGTGGATGTTGTGGATGTTCTGGATGTTGTGGATGTTCTGGATGATGTCTGGATGTTTGATGTTCTGGATGTTCTGATGTTCTGTGGATGTTCTGGATGTTGTTCTGGATGTTGTGGATGTTGTGGATGTTCTGGATGTTCTGGATGTTGTGGATGTTGTGATGTGGATGTTCTGGATGTTCTGGATGTTCTGGATGTTGTAGATGTTCTGGATGTTCTGGATGTTGTGGATGTTCTGGATGTTGTGGATGTTGTGGATGTTCTGGATGTTCTGGATGTTCTTGATGTTCTAGATGTTGTGGATGTTGTGGATGTTCTGGATGTTGGATGTTCTGGATGTTCTGGATGTTCTGGATGTTCTGGATGTTCTGCAGCGTCTCACAGCTCGTTTGGAGAGACCAGTGAGCAGAACATCACAGTATCTAATCTACTGGAGACAAATGCATGGATAAGTTTCTCCAAGTCTGATTTAGACAGTAAACCTTTGATTTTTGCTATGTTTTTTAGATGGTAAAAGGCTGCAGATGTTATTGATTTGATGTGACTGTTAAAGTTCAAGTCTGAGTCCATTATTACCCCGAGATTTCTTGCCTGATTTGAAGGTTTTAGAGAGAGAGACTGGAGGTGACTGCTGACACTGTCCCTTTGTTTCTGTGGACCAAACACTATGACTTCAGTCTTGTCAGAGTTTAGCTGGAGAAAGTTGTTTTGCATCCACACACTGATCTGTTGGATGCAGTGACCAAGTGACTCCACTGGTCCATAGTCTCCTGCTGCCAGAGAGACGTAGATCTGAGTGTCGTCTGCATAATTGTGGTACGACACGTTATTGCTGCTTATTAACTGGCCTGTAGGGGGCAGCATGTAGAGATTGAACAACAGGGGGCCCAGGATTGACCCCTGAGGCACCCCACAGGTCAGGGCCATGTCATCTGAGACACAGTTTCCAATTTCAACAAAATACTTCCTGTCTTCTAGATAGGACTTGAACCAGTTTAGTACAGTACCAGAGATGCCCACCCAGTCCTCTAGTCTCTGTAAGAGGATCCATGATCGACAGTGTCAAAAGCAGCACTCAGATCTAACAGGATCAAGACTGAGACTTTGCCTGCATCAGTGTTCAGGCGGATGTCATTTGTCACCTTGATAAGAGCAGTCTCAGTGCTGTGGAGGCTCGAAAACCTGACTGGAAAACATCAAAGGAGTTGTTCATTTGGAGAAAGTTCGTAAGCTGTTGGTAAACAGCTTTTTCAAGGACTTTGCCAAAAAACGGCAGATTTGAGATGGGTCGGAAATTGTTCAGTACTGTGGCATCAAGACTGCTCTTCTTTAGGAGAGGCTTAATGACCGCAGTTTTCAACGCGTTTGGGAATGTTCCAGATTGAAGTGACATGTTAACTATGTGAGTGAGTGGTGAAAGTAAAACTGTTGAGGACGGACTTTAGAAATCTAGTGGGTAACATGTCCAGGCAGCAAGTAGATGAACTCAGACTGGTAACGATCTCTAAAACAGTTTTGTCAGTTACAGGTGCAAAGTGATTCAGCTCTAAGTGTCTCTGTGGCTGCAGCTTGTTATTTGTGTTGTGGAATTGATGCATTTTTGATGCCCTGAACTTTGTCATTAAAGAAAACTGCAAACTCATTACATTTAGATGTGGAAATCAGTTCTTGTGGCAGTGGAGCTGGAGGGTTTGTTAATCTGTTCACTGTTGCAAACAGGACACGAGAGTTGTTACTGCAATTACCAATAATGTCTGAAAAACTACTTCTCTCTTGTTTTACTCAAAGTGTAGTTGTACATATGCATTGTTCCTCTGTAAATCTCATAATGAACCTGGAGGTTTGACTTGTGCCATTTCCGCTCAGCCTCCCTCCACTCAAAACACACACAAAACACACACACAACACACACAAAACACACACAACACACACACACACAAAACACACAAAACACACACAAAACACACACACAACACACACAAACACACACAAAACACACACACACACACACACAAAAACACACAAAACAACAAAAACAACACAACACACACACACACACACACAAAACACACACAAACACACACAAAACACACACAACACACACACACACACACACACACAAAACACACAAACACACACAAAACACACACAAACACACACACACACACACACACACACACACACACACACACACACACACACACACACACACACACACACACACACACAAAACACACAAACACACACAAAACACACAAAACACACACACAACACACACACACACACACACACACACACACACACAACACACAAAACACACACACAACACACACACAACACACACACAACACACTCAAAACACACACAAAACACACACACAACACACACAAAACACACACAGAACACACACACAACACACACAAACACACACAACACACACACACCGAAACACACCAAACACACACCAAACACACAAAACACACACACAACACACATCTAAACACACAAAACACAAACACAACACACACACAACACACACACAAACACACACACAAAACACACACACACACACACACACAACACACACACAACACACACACAACACACACACACACACACACACAACACACACAACACACACAAAACACACACAAAACACTACACAAAACACACACACAACACACACAAAACACACACACACACAACACACACACACACACACACACTCAAAACACACACAAAACACACACACAAAACACACAAAACACACACACAACACACACAAACACACACACACACACACACAAAACACACAAAACACACACACAACACACACACACAACACACACAAAACACACACAAACACACACAAAACACACACACAACACACACACAACACACACACACACACAAAACACACACAACACACTCAAAACACACAAACAACACACACACAACAACACACACAAACACACACACAAACACACACACAAAAACACACACACAACACACACACACACACACACACAACACACACACAAACACACACACAACACACACAACAACACACACACACAAAAACACACACACAACACACACACAACACACACACAACACACCAGACACACACAAACACACAACACACAAAACACACACAACACACACACACAACACACACAAAACACACAAAACACACACACAACACACACAAAACACACACACAACACACACACAACACACCAGACACACACAAAACACATAACACACACCACACACATCTAAACACACAAAACACACACAACACACATCTAAACACACACTAAACACAAAACACACACAAAACACACACCAAACACACATCTAAACACACAAAACACAAACACAACACACACACAACACACACCACACACATCTAAACACACACTACACACAAAACACACACAGACACACACACACACACACACAACACACACACAACACACAACACACACACACACATCTAAAAACACACTATACATAAGGGCGAGTTGTTGGTTATACAGCTGTAAGGTTTAGTCCTGGTTTAGTCCAGGTTTAGTCCAGGTTTAGTCCTGGTTTAGTCCAGGTTTAGTCCTGGTTTAGTCCAGGTTTAGTCCTGGTTTAGTCCTGGTTTAGTCCAGGTTTAGGTTTAGTCCAGGTTTTAGTTTTCCTGGTTTAGTCCAGGTTTAGTCCTGGTTTAGTCCTGGTTTAGTCCAGGTTTAGTCCAGGTTTAGGTTTAGTCTGGTTTAGTCCTGGTTTAGTCCAGGTTTAGTCCTGGTTTAGTCCTGGGTTTTAGGTTTAGTCCAGGTTTAGGTTTAGTCCTGGTTTAGTCCAGGTTTAGTCCTGGTTTTAGTCCTGTTTAGTGGTTTAGTCCAGGTTTAGTCCTGGTTTAGTCCTGGTTTTAAGTCCAGGTTTAGTCCTGGTTTTAGTTTAGTCCAGGTTTAGTCCTGGTTTAGTCCTGGTTTAGTCCAGTTTAGTGGTTTAGTCCTGGTTTTCAGTTTCTAGGTTTAGTTTAGTCTGGTTTAGTCCTTTAGTCCTGGTTTAGTCCTAGGGTTTAGGTTTAGTCCAGGTTTAGGTTTAGTCCAGGTTTAGTTTAGTGGTTTAGTCCAGGTTTAGTCCAGGTTTAGTCCTGGTTGGTCCTGGTTTAGTCCTGGTTTAGTCCAGGTTTATCCTGGTTTAGTCCTGGTTTAGTCCAGGTTTAGTCCTGGTTTAGGTTTTCAGGTTTAGTCCTGGTTTAGTCCAGGTTTAGTTTAGTCCTGGTTTTAGGTTTTAGTCCAGTTTAGTGGTTTAGTCCTGGTTTAGTCCTGGTTTAGGTTTAGTCCTAGGTTTAGTCCTGGTTTAGTCCTGGTTTAGTCCTGTTTAGGTTTAGTGGTTTAGTCCTGGTTTAGGTTTTCCAGGTTTAGTCCTGGTTTAGTCCAGGTTTAGTCCTGGTTTAGTCCTGGTTTAGTCCTGGTTTAGTCCTGGTTTAGTCCAGGTTTAGTCCAGGTTTAGTCCAGGTTTAGTGGTTTAGTCCAGGTTTAGTCCTGGTTTAGTCCTGGTTTAGTCCTGGTTTAGTCCAGGTTTTAGTCCTGGTTTAGTCCTGGTTTAGTCCAGGTTTTAGTCCTGGTTTAGACCAGGTTTAGTCCAGGTTTAGTCCTGGTTTAGTCCTGGTTTAGTCCAGGTTTAGTCCAGGTTTAGTCCAGGTTTAGTCCTGGTTTAGTCCTGGTTTAGTCCAGGTTTAGTCCTGGTTTAGTCCTGGTTTAGTCAGGTTTAGTCCAGGTGAGGTTCAGGTGATGACGCAGGGCGCTGTTGTTTTGACGTTCACACTTCCGGGTTTATTTCGTCGTCACTTCGTTCTGTTCCAACTTTCTCTTTTGACTTTAACCCGCTTTTATTCACTTTAACCCAGTTTAACCCGGTCCGACCCGGTCCGGTCCGGTGTGCCCCGCTCGGCTCGGCTCCGGTCCGCTCGGCTCGGCTCCGGTCCGCTCCCCCGGGCCTCGTGTGTCCTGATGCCGCTTCAGTGAGTCTGTGTCCGGTCAGACTCCGCCGCTTCGCCCTGGGCTTAGCTGTTAGCCGCTTAGCTCCGAGGTAACTCACTTCACACTCACTTCACACTCACTTCACACACACTTCACACACACTTCACACACACTTTCTGGTCCGGTCCACTTCAGCCCGGGTCCGGTCCACTTCGGCCCGGCTCTGTGCTAACTTTTCCGCCCGTTTGTCCCATTTTGTCCCGTTTTGTCCCGAGTCTGTGGAACTTTTTGACGCGCCGTTTGCGGTGCGTTTCCGGACTCCGTTAAACATTTGTTGTTTTTGCGTTTGTTTGCGCTGCGGTGACGGCACGGGTCACGCTCACGTCCGGATCACCCGCCGCCTTTACACTTTTACTCCTTATTTACACTTCGTCCGTCGTAATAAGCACTTTAATGCGCCGTAATAGCACTTTATTACACACAGATGAGAAGGGACCGCCGCTGTAGCCGTGACACCTGTTGAACGCGTCGGAAGAATGTTCAAATTTATCTCAACAATTATCGATAAATATTATAGAATAATGTAATAATAACGTTAAAGCTGCACTCTGTAGCTTTTCTGTTGTTGCTTTGCCTGGAATGTTCCACAGTGTTTATTTTTAGCATTATTTATTATTTATTTTATTTTATTTTTTCATTTTTTTTGAATATTTTTTAAATTTAAATTAAATTTAATTAAATTTTTAGCATTTTTAATTTAAATTTTTAACATTATTTACTTTATTTTTTAGCATTATTTTATATATATATTTTTATTGTTATATATTTATTTTATTTTTATTATATTTATTTATTATATTTTATTTATTTTTTATTTTTATTTATTTTATTATTATTTTATTTTTTATAATTTTTTGTTTTCTCTATGGAGAAGATGTGCTGATGACATCATCAGGCTAAAGTGACGGGTCAGATTTTCAGAGAGGCGAGCCTGCGCCACGCACGCACGTTTAGGTAATGCCGTACTGTGGAACATTCCGGGCAAAGCAACGACTTCCCCATGGCGACCAGAAAAGTTTCATCATGCAAATAAAAAAATATATATATATGTTGTGTTGTTCGTGGTCACAGTCAGAGCTCGACTCGTGTTTGTTTAACTCTGAGTTTCTTACATCTCCAAAACTCTAACGCTCTGTTCCACCTTGTGATGTCATCAAGTGGTAGTTTTTTGTTTTTTTTTATGTTCTCAGCTCCTTTTCCCTTTAGTTCAGTCGAGATCGGCGACTCCACGACTGAAATGATCCAGATGATTCTAGTGAAGGTGAAGTGTGGAGTTTAAAAACATAGCGGAGCACTTCCTGTATCACCACACGATGACGTCACGAGGTGGATCAGGGTGTTTTCAGTGTTCCGTGCTGAGTGTGCAGGGTTTGTGTGTCCAGGTGTGTCGCTGATCCACAGGGAAATGATTCAGACTCAGGAGTCACACGTCACAATCTGAAAGAACAAACAACAAATAGAAATGTCAAATCAACTATAAAAAAGAAACAAAGAAAATGAAATAAAACAGAATTATAGAAATGTAAATAGAAAAATAAGAAATAAAATATAAAATTACAGATTTATACAAGACGACACGTTACATAAGGACGAGCTGTACAGTTGTAGGGAGTATTATCTGTTACATAAGAGTGAGTTGTTGTACAGTTGTAGGGTTTAGTCCAGGTTTAGTCCAGGTTTAGTCCTGGTTTAGTCCTGGTTTAGTCCTGGATTAGTCCAGGTTTAGTCCTGGTTTAGTCCTGGTTTAGTCCTGGTTTAGTCCAGGTGTGTTTGTGTGTTCACACGTGTTCAGATCCATTTTCCTTTTGTTGTTTTGAAAAAACAAAAACAAAAAACAGTTTTCACCAAAATTTCAATTCATCTGTTTCACTTTTGTTTTTGGGTGAAAAACGTCACGTGACGTTTGTGAGAATCTTCTAGCTCAGACAGTTTGAACAGGAGAGATCTCTAGATTAGTCAGAGGAGAGATCTTTAGATTAGTCAGAGGAGAGATCTCTAGATTAGTCAGAGGAGAGATCTCTAGATTAGTCAGAGGAGAGATCTCTAGATGGCTCAGGGGAGAGATCTCTAGATGGCTCAGACTTGCAGGGTGGTGTTTGTGATGAGGAGCAGGACTCTGGTGGTTCTGTGACTCCTGCGTTTGGGGCGTGACCTCGAGCGGCGCCGAGTCCCGCCTCCTCACGTCCCGTTCGGCTCGGCCCGTTTACGGTCGACGGGAACGAGGAAGCGGCGTTTTACCGTCACTGCGTTTTACGACGCTCAGGGGCAAAGGTCAAAGGTGAGTGTGTCTCTGCAGGATGTGGTGCTGCTGGTGCCTGGACTCAGAGCCCAGTCCGGTCCCAGACCCGGCGCCGGGACCCGGGTCCAACCGATCCACCCGAGGGTCTAACCGAGGGTCTAACCGAGGGTCTAACCGAGGGTCTAACCGAGGGTCCCAGAGGGGCGTGGTCCAGACCCAACCGTCCCCAGGACAGAACTGCACCAAATGTGGAGGAGCCTTCAGCAACACACAGAAGAAGGTACCAGACCTGGACTAAACCTGGACTAAACCTGGACTAAACCTGGACTAAACCTGGACTAAACCTGGACTAAACCTGGACTAAGGGCTGAGTGTCAGTGGGACTTTAGAACCGTACCAGGAGCACAGTTTGGTTGAGGTTTTGGGCGGTGCCTGGACACGGTTCTAAAGTCTCACTCTGAGTCCAGTCTTGGTCTGGTCTCTGGTCTAACCCTGGTTCCATTGTTACAGCGTGTGTGTGTGGACTTTAAACCTGGTCTAAATCTGGTCCAAACCTGGTGTGTGTGTGTATAAACCCGTGTGTGTGTGTGTGTATAACCTGTGTGTGTGTGTTACAGCATGTGTGCGTGGACTGTCTCTGGTGTAAACTTGTGTGTGTGTGTGTGTATGTGTATAACCTGTGTGTGTGTGTGTGTAACCCGTGTGTGTGTGTGTGTGTTACAGCACGTGTGCGTGGACTGCGGTCTGTGTTACTGCAGTAGTTGCTCCGCCCGCCTGGAGCCCCGCCCCCGCCTCTGTCACACCTGTCAGCGTTTCTATGGTAACCTGCTGCAGAGGGCGGAGCTTATGAGACTCAAGGTGAAAGAGCTGAGAGATTATCTGCACCTGCACCAGGTGTCCACACACCTGTGCCGCGAGAAGGTACTACACTACTGCACAAAGTACTACACACTACATACTACACACTACTACATACTACTACATTGTTGTGTGTAAAGTGTCATGTGTAAAGTGTTGTGTGTGTGTGTGTGCGTTGTGTGTAAAGTGTTGTGTGTAAAGTGTTGTGTGTAAAGTGTGGTGTGTGTGTGTGTGTGTGTGCGTTGTGTGTAAAGTGTCGTGTGTAAACTGTTGTGTGTGTGTGTGCGTTGTGTGTGTGTGCGTTGTGTGTAAAGTGTCATGTGTAAAGTGTTGTGTGTGTGTTTGTGCGTTGTGTGTGTGTTGTGTGTAAAGTGTTGTGTGTGTTGTGTGTAAAGTGTCGTGTGTGTGTGTTTGTGCATTGTGTGTGTGTTGTGTGTAAAGTGTTGTGTGTGTGTGTTGCGTGTAAAGTGTCGTGTGTGTTTGTGCATTGTGTGTGTGTTGTGTGTAAAGTGTTGTGTGTGTGTGTGTGTTGTGTGTAAAGTGTCGTGTGTGTGTTGTGTGTAAAGTGGCGTGTGTGTTGTGTGTAAAGTGTTGTGTGTGTGTTGTGTGTAAAGTGTGGTGTGTGTGTGTTGTGTGAAAGTGTCGTGTGTGTGTGTTTGTGTGTTGTGTGTGTGTTGTGTGTAAAGTGTTGTGTGTGTGTGTTGTGTGTAAAGTGTCGTGTGTGTGTTTGTGCGTTGTGTGTGTGTTGTGTGTAAAGTGTGTGTGTGTGTGTGTGTGTGTGTGTGTTGTGTGTAAAGTGTGGTGTGTGTGTTGTGTGTAAAGTGGCGTGTGTGTTGTGTGTAAAGTGTTGTGTGTGTGTTGTGTGTAAAGTGTGGTGTGTGTGTGTTGTGTGAAAGTGTCGTGTGTGTGTGTTTGTGCATTGTGTGTGTGTTGTGTGTAAAGTGTTGTGTGTGTGTGTTGTGTGTAAAGTGTTGTGTGTGTGTTTGTGCGTTGTGTGTGTGTTGTGTGTAAAGTGTCGTGTGTGTGTGTGTTGTGTGTAAAGTGTCGTGTGTGTGTTGTGTGTGTGTGTAAGTGTGTGTGTGTGTGTTGTGTGTAAAGTGTGTGTGTGTGTGTTGTGTGTAAAGTGTGTTGTGTGTGTGTGCGTGTGTGTGTTGTGTGTAAAGTGTCGTGTGTGTGTTGTGTGTAAAGTGTGGTGTGTGTTGTGTGAAAGTGGCGTGTGTGTGTGTGTAAAGTGTGTGTGTGTTGTGTGTAAAGTGTGGTGTGTGTTGTGTGAAAGTGTCGTGTGTGTGTTGTGTGTAAAGTGTGGTGTGTGTGTGTGAGCGTTGTGTGTAAAGTGTGGTGTGTGTGTGTTGTGTGTAAAGTGTGGTGTGTGTGTTGTGTGTAAAGTGTGTTGTGTGTAAAGTGTTGTGTGTAAAGTGTTGTGTGTAAAGTGTAGTGTGTTTTTCAGGAGGATCTGGTGGAGCTGGTTTTGGGGCATCAGTCGTCTTCTGAAGCGTCGACACCAGACTCCGCCCCTCCGCCTCTGACCACGCCCACACAGGCTCAGGCCCCGCCCGCTCAGGCCCCGCCCATGGAGACACAGGCCCCACCCACAGAGACACAGGCCCCGCCCACAGAGACAGTCCCGCCTACAGAGAGTCCAGCCACGCCCACAGACGTACAGGCCACGCCCACAAATGCACAGGCTCCACCTCTCCAAACAGAAGCCACGCCCCCTGAGCCACCCACTGTCCAATCAGAGAGTCTGCTGGAGGATGAAGAGGAGGAAGAGGAAGAGCAGGTGAGTTCCATAAATAAGCCCCGCCCCCTCTAGAGTTTCCTCCAAGTACTGCAGCTCCTCAAGCCTCGCCT